GTCAATACAGATGGCTGTATGCTGATGCTGCGAAACAGTAAAATCCCCAAAATCCCCGATATGCACAATAGCGCGTTTGACTCCGTCTACACCTTTTATTATTTTCTTGTATCGACGCAGCAGTCCTAATCGGCCTGCCAGGGTAAGAAATAAAATGTAGTGGGCAGATGCATACTGCGCGGCGACAGCCACTGGAGGGAGTCGAAGGATGTTGGTAATGGTTTTTAGAGTGATGATGTGAGGGAAACGTCAGTCCATTCCTTGACCACAATAATTAAGAATCAAATTATTCAAACAAATTACTTCAATCGATGTAGTAATAAGTGAGCCTCAAAGCACCAGCTCGCTCCGAATACGCCTAGCTTTTACTTCACCGCCGAGTTATATTCAAGGCTAATTTAAATACAGGCGACTGATTTGTTAGTATACATAATAAAGGGCCAAAACTGGTTTTAATAGAGTATATGATCGTCATATACAAGCAGCAATAGTGGAATATGTTAATACTAAATAATAATATACACTTAAAAAAAGCGGCAATACTAGAATTCTACGACAAGAAATTGTACTAGACTTCCACTTTTACATCTAAAGACCTTGAAAATATTCTAATGTGTTAAATTTTTCATCTTTTGTCTGCGTAGGAACAAATATATAAAACAGAAAACGGTAGTCTTTAAGTAACTAATAAACCCTATGCATTTACCCTAAGACATTCTGCACGTAATATCTCAGCATAAACGCAAAGTCTTCAGAATAAGTGAGAGAAACTGAGTTGTTTCTGCTAAGGCAAGTTTCCCCTTTTCTGCTTGTTAAAGAGTTTCACCCTAGTTGTCATTGAAAGATGAATTGTTTCGGTTGACTCAAGTGTCCTGCCGATGAAAAGAAAATGCACTTTCCCGCTTGTATGGCTGTAAACTGAATTAGTATCCGCAGAGTGCAGCCTCTTTCTCGTGAAAGTGTTTCCTCCTAAATAATGTGAACTGAATTGCATCTCGGGTGTCTGGTTTTCCGTCAAGGAAAGAGTTGGATTGTGTCTATCGAGAGAAGTTTTTTTTTTCTAAGGAAGGAGTTTACTTCTGCTTGTTGCTGTAGACCGAATTGTTTCTGAGGAGTCAAGCGTCTTGCGGGTGAAGGAGTTTCCCTCCGTTTCCTGTTGTTATTGTGCTGAAATTGCCGTGAGGTTTCAGCCAGGGACCCGAAACAGCTCAAAGAAACATAGGGAAATTAAGAAAAGACTAAAACTATTTAAATCATAGATCGCCACTTCAGTGATGCCTATACTGCAACTTGAATCCAGACACACTGCTACGTGTGACAGCCAGGCGCCCGAGCGGGACAAAACGGAGAAAACAATGGCTGAAGAAAGTGATATAAAAATACAAGAAAACTTTAATTAACTAATTTTGCGTTTCATTTTTTTAATTGAATGCATTCGCGCTAATACGACTGCTTGAGTTGCCTGTGAGCGGACCACTCGACAGCCTCATGGCTCTCGAACGGACAAGCCGTCGTAGCAAGAGCGAGAGTGCATGCATGCGGAGAAATATGGAGAAAAGTAGGCCGTTTGTTAATATTTTGTATTTGTTTGATATTTTCAAGATTGGAACAGACTCTCTGTGCAACTGCTTGCCGTTTAAACGCATTATGTCTTCCGCCTGGGAAGAGGGAAAGAAGGTCTAGAGGAAGGCGGCAGACCGAAGGGCGGCTTGAATTGTGTCTGGAGTGTATCCGCAGCTATTTCACCACCAGAATAAACCTTTTAGAAAAAAAGGTTTTCCCGATAGAACTTTGTCTGCATTTCCGGCCACTTCAGGGGCGTATGGGAACTCAGCAGCACTCGATGCCGCTTCAATGGGCCTAACCAGTCCGAGACGAAGACGAAAAGAACGAGGATGAAAATCGCAACCTTTTCTTCGTTTCTGTTCCTCTGTGCTGCGTCTGGAAATGGTTATCGGCTCGAGTCAAATGCAGGGGCCAGCAGCAGCGCGCCTCTGCCTGTTTTAGACACAGGGGAAGACGGGGTGCCGTGGAGTCCTCCAGATGGGCGTACAGCCGAAGCTCCTGGGGAAAACGACAAGCCCAGCGACGCACCACTCCCACAAACATCTTTTGCAGAGGATGGCGGGACCGCTGTGGTTTCCGGCGCAGCCGACTCGGGGGCTGGCACAGCAGATGTGCAGCAAACGCCAAGCAAGCAGCCGAAGCAGATAAGGAAAGGCGCAGCTCATGTTCCTGAAATGCAAGAGCTCGCCAGCGTCGTGAAGATATTCGTTGACACCGTCGCAGCAGACTTCGTTTCGCCGTGGCAGATGATGGCTCCGAAGGAGCACAGCGGGTCAGTGTTAAGTGCTGTATTTTCCGAGGTTTCTCTTCAGCTTCCGCAGCGTATATACGTATATACAGTGTATTTTGGTATGTTTATCATCAGATGTAGTAGCAGTAAATATTTCTTCCTAAATATGTTTTTGCACTGTCTTCGCAGATCAGGGTTTGTAGTGGAAGGCCAAATGATTATGACGAACGCACACGTTGTAGCCAACCAAACGCGCGTGCTGGTGCGAAGGCATGGGTAAGCTGCGACAAACACAACACTCAGCAGCAAAGCAGAGGAGAGAATTCACCAAATTCTATCCAACAGCCAGTGACACGGAAACACAGGGTAGCCAGCAGCTTATTCTCTAGTTCGTAAGATAGAAGCATCGTAGGGCAACGATAGATAGCTCAAAGATACCACCTCAGAAGCAGCTGTTTTTATTTTGCATTGTTTCACTCTCCCGCAGAAATCCAAAGCGTTTCCTTGCAAAGGTTATTGCTGTTTGCCACGAATGCGACTTGGCGTTGGTAACGGTCGATGATGAGGATTTCTGGCGCGGGCTGAAACCATTGCCTTTCGGAGGAGTTCCACACCTGCGGGTAAACTAATAACCTGAAATGAATGCATAAATTCAACTTTTAACATGCATTGCAGTTGAAATGAGGGTTGCAGTTGTCGTTGCTGCTTTTGTTTTGTTTTTGTTTTTGTTTTTGTTTTCTTCTATTTGTCGCTGTTATTGTTGTTGTTGTCGTTAGCGTTGTTGTGAAGCGCACCCAATACTGAACATGAATTACATTGGAAATGCATAGGAAA